AATGAAGGCATCGAATGCACTCTAATAATCCTTGATTACGGCTAGTTCCTTTTCGCGATATTGATGCTTTGTTTTACACAGCGATAATTATTAATTTAGTTGGTTGTACGTGTTGGGTCGATCACGCAAAAACATTCTTGCCGAAAATGAAATTATCGTTATCTACTCGCATGTGTTACAGGAAGTCATTAGAAGCACAAAAAATCCAAATACCATTAGAGACAAGCCAAATGGCCACGCGTAGTGTTTGTCGCTGAAGGAATATGGCCCATTGTTAATGACACGATAGTTGTCCTGAGACTTGTAACCAGGAGTAAGGAAATAACCTGCCAAAACGATGCTTCCCAGCGTGAACGAAAGAAGTCCAATTACAAACCACTTGGTTTTTAAATCCATTCGGTTAGCTGGTTGTGCACTCGTAAATGTATCCAAACTTCACCCGTTTCAAGAGAACGTTCCTCGGTTAGTACGTTAATAAGTAGTCTTTCGTGATCTTGAATAAGAATAATAACTCCGGATCCGTACTTTAAACTGCAGTGTCCACTGAGGTCTTTTAATCAGGAATACTAAGTTGATTCGGCCTCCGGAATTCTGCCAGTCTCTTAAAGTAAGATGAATTTACTACGATCTATAGCTGAATATAATGCCAGTTCAGCGAATTTTTAAAGGAGGTGAGTTAATGGAAGTATTCCAAATATGGTTAGTAGCCTCCTACGTGGACATTCTTTTCGCTCATCACGCAACTTTTCCCGTCCTCTCCCCCACCCCCCTCTCCGTGGGGAGGAAGATATTGCGTGACGAGCTCAAAGAGCGTAGGAGGTTAGGGCTAATGAGAATGGTGATAAGAAGTCTGTCGACAATCCCTCTCTCAGGCCTCCCCAAGGTGAGGAGAAGAAGGAAGGATCACTTCTTACCCCACCCCCTCCCCACCGCGGTTCACAATTCCAATACCTTGGAGCTACTGTTCTGTGTTGCATTCTGAGCTAGGATGACTTCGCAAGCAAAATTAAATCTGGCGAGGTGGACAAAATCAGTTTAGGTACCAGCTCATCGCTATTAGAACACCAGCCTGGAACAAGGTTATAAAGAAGGTGTCAGTTAGTCTGCATCTGCACTTGTTCTTCTTAATTCTAGATAGATTTGCTTCATTTAAAGTTGAATAACAAGAGCTACGATGGACAAAGCTACGATGGACAAAAAAAAGCTCTTTCCTCAACAGAGGCTTCCATGTGCCTAGTATCAGCTCCTCTCCCCAATCTACGCAAGTCCTAATTTGACCACAACTACCAAAATCCTTTGCCCTTGTCTGTTTTTTATGCTATTTAGGACATCAACCTTCTACCCAGGGCTTTTGCCCTTGAATTCACGCACCGTTGGTTTCATTCACGTGAATCAAAAAAGCGATCACGTGTTTATGAATCAGAAACAACTTAGCCTTCTTTATAAACCTCATGACTTTTATGATAATGCGAGCTTCATAAAACCCATACAGAACATTAAGCACGTGGATGTTCATAATCTTTTGACGCTGATTTACATTTTACTGAATATTGCTGAGCGTGTAATACCACTTGCATCTGTTAGACGATTAGGAAAGGTTTCAAATGCAGCAAAGCATGCATCACAACTGCTTTTTTATAATTCCAGCCCTTAGTCTCTTCTCCTGCTTCCCATTGAGTTCAAGCACACCTGCCCCCTGACCCCGCCCAGGCCTGCACACACACTTAGTCTACTAAAATTGCTGTGTGCAAGCTCTTTACTATCACAGTACACATACATAACCAAGTTCCAGCAACCTGTGGGGGCAGCCTGACAAATTGGTAATGGGGAATTTGGGACAGATAATCATCACATCTGGGAGAGGGNGGCAGTACTACTATTAGGTGGCTTCATGCCACAGAATCTGTGATGCAGTTGCAGTTGCGTGGCCTGGGTGCAGACTGTAACATGTAAACAACATCAAACGAGCATCAAAATATTACTACAAAGAAATGAGATAACAAGGTAAAGTCTGTATTTATTCTCACAAATATCCAAACATCCAAACTTTATTATGTGCATAGTTTTGACAAAAAAGCAGTTGTTTGATGGACATACAAGGATTCATTCTGAAGCAAATTAACTTAATTATATGCTAGGTTTCACAACATTTCCAAACATTTTAT